CACACACACACACACACACACACACGCGTGTGTGTTCATCAGGCCCGTCCAAAGTCCGGCCAAGGAGCCATTTGTGTCCCGCCGCATATTCCAATAATAATATAATTTGACAGTGTAGGACATTTTGTGGTCGACTTTTTAGCACAGCCGCCTCACGCTTTGATCATGTGTGTATTCAGTACCAGCTTCATGTCTGACTTTGACATCATGCTGGCGCGCAAGAAGGCCATGAGCGGCAAGCGGCGACGCCACCGAGACGGCGGGACGTTCATCAGCGACGCAGACGACGTGGTCAGCGCCATGATCATCAAGATGAACGAGGCCGCTGAGGTCTGACCAGTAAACGTATACAAACACAAGTGTAAACCACGTATTCATAATTCCACCTTCATTTTGTTGTTCTTGTTTCAGGAGGACAGAACACTGAACAGTGCCAAGAAACCGGCCCTGAAGAAGCTCACTCTGCTGCCTCAAGTGGTCATGCACCTAAAAAAGTAGATATATTTTTTAAATTTATGAACTTACAGTGAATGGATCAGCGATACGTGACCATATATGCCCACCACTTTGCATAGTTTGTAGGTGTCGACAAATGGCGTTTGAGTTTTAAGTTGCGCTTAGAGGGATGGAGCGGGCAACTGTATTTACTGACCCTTTTTTATTTCAAAGGTTGGGTTAGTAGGTACATTTGTAAATGGGGAACTGCAAACGGGTGCTGGTTCCCTGTAAATTGATCATAGATATATCATCCAAACCCAAAGTCCTGTTGTGTGCTTACTCAGGCAGGACCTGAAGGAGACGTTCATCGACAGCGGCGTCATGTCGGCCATCAAAGAGTGGATCAGCCCGCTTCCTGACAAGTCCCTTCCGGCACTCCGGATCCGAGAGGAGCTGCTCAGAGTCCTGCAGGAAGTGAGTACAACCCAAGCATGATATTCTGCTCTAAAATGTTATAACTGAGTGCTTACGAGAAGCTGGGATTGGAACCTTGAACCTCAGAACTGTGGGACAGATGTACTAACCGCTAATAACCACCCCTAGACGGGAGCAAAACGTTGGATTTGACTATTAAGGCCTGCAGTGTGACCTGGTTACCTTACAAATCCAACACTTTTTGATCTGATTCGTTTGCCTTCAGCTGCCCAGCGTCAGTCAGGAGACACTGAAACACAGCGGGATTGGTCGTGCCGTCATGTTCCTGTACAAGCACCCCAAAGAGTCCAGATCTAACAAAGACCTGGCCCTCAAGCTCATTAGTAAGCACCCCTCATGACGCAGCC